GTCTGGATGGGCGTCTCGAAATATGTATAGCTGGCAGGCACGACCAACTCGTAGTCATTGTCGAAAAACGGCGCAAAGCCGACCGAGCTGCCGCCACTGCTGCCGCTGCTGCTGCTGCTGCTACCGCTGCTGCTGGCCTCCGCGGCGGCGGGCGAATCGACGGGTTCGGCGAGCGACGGTGGTGGCTGTGCTGCAATCGCGGCCCTGCAGGTCAGTGCCGGCACACTCCAATTACATACCATATGCATGTGGTTGTTTGAGGTCACCAGGTGTCCACACAAGCGGCAAGTAATGGCGGGTGACGGCGCAGTCAGGGGACTGCGCCTGCAATCATGCATGAGCAGCACCGGCAGCTCACCAAAGGACTGCGGACAGCTGCAGCATCAGCGCGCCGCGCCGAGGCACCTCAGTAAGCCCCTGGTCGTCCGCATCGGTCTCCGAGCTTCTCTGTGCACGCACTAACTTTGCATGGAGGGCCCTCCGGTGCAGGAGGCACCCGACACTAGATCCGACCCGTGGGCTGCCCTTCAGCCGGGGAGCGAGCACAGATTGATGCCTCGATAGCATTGCAGAATAATGAGTTGAGGGATCGAGGGCTGGGGGTGCAGATCCTCGGTGGACGGTGTCGCAGACCGTCCTGTGGTCAGTGGGCTATCAAACGCTTGCTACACTGCGTGAATTGCAAGAAGATGCAACGATACGGATGTCAGGCCTTCACACCCTCCAAACTGCATGCCAGCGAGACGGCATGGGGAGGGAAACCAAGAGCTGCACGCTGCGCATGCTGTGGTCGCAGCAAAGCAATTTTAAGCGCTGCGCTCTAAGCTGATATCAGGCCAGTGCACCTGTGCAGCAGAAACAGAGAGCTGAGGTGAATACTCACAACAGTGGCTGCAGCGCAGGAGGTGACGCCTAATACATCAACCACGCTCACCCAAGCAGCAGAGCCAACCCACCAGGCAAGCTCACACTGGGGCAACACCAAAGTGGCGTGGTGCCGCAGCCAAGTCAACCCCTAATTTCGATTCAATCAGGAGTCGCTGTTTGAGCCGGCAGGGCAGGCAGCCGCCCGCGCACCATGAGGCGCCGCCCTGTGACTGCTGTGTTTGGAAGCAAGCAAGTGCTCTTGTGTGGGCGGAGGCCCTGCGGCATGGGGCCAGGTTGCCTTATGGAAAGTCTTGTGGAGTAGGGGACCGGGCAGGGGCCAGAGCCTCGTGCAGGAGGGGCCTTTGCCGGCGGCACGTCGGCGTGGGGCCCTGGGCCAGCTGACTGCTGACTTGGTTTTTCCCCGTTGATCAGGGGGGTTCCGGAAGACGACGAAAATGGCCCAGAAAGCGAGCGCCCCAGCCAGCGGAGCAGCAGCAGCAGGAGAAGCTGTCCGCAAGCCTTCATTTGCAAACCACTGCATGCCTCACAAGGCCCACCACACTCCATCATCCAGAGCCCGCCGGCCCCATGCGCCGTCGACAGGCGCAGAGGGGCCTACCATCCAGGCACCCCCACCCCCCTTATTCATTGCCATCTCGACCGCCGACTGCATTAGCGACTGGTTACTGGCCGCGTGAGCTATCTCCTCAGGCCCATGCGCCGCGGGGGGCTGTATTCAACCCGCCCTCAAAACGCACAACCCCACAGCTCCCTTGTAGACGGAGCGAGGGAACAAAAACACAGTCAGTAGTAGATGGTGAGGGTCCGATGGTGGGGCGGGTGCTCCCTCCGTGCCTTCTCCCCCACACCCCAGAGCCACCAGTCGACGTGCACACTCAGCAGCTCCCATCCCTCCTCCTCCTCGCGCGCCGCCGCCCTCGCCGCCGCCGCGGCCGCAGCGGCCGCCTCGGCGGTGGCGGCCGCCTTGCGCCGCTGCTCTTCCCGCTCTGCCGCCCCCGCCGCAGCTGCGCCAAGGCCCGAATGTTCGTCTGCCCCTGCTGTTGCGGCCGCTGCAGCCTCACCCTTGTTGCTGCTGTCCCCTGCATCCGCCGCCACATCATCTGCTGCAGCAGCAGCAGCAGCAGCAGCGGCGGCAGCGGCAGCGGCCTCCTCCGCCGCCGCCTCCGCCGCCGCCCGCCGCGCGCGTGCCCCCGCCGCCGCCAGCGCCGCGCGCGCCCGCAGGCGCTCGACCGCCGCGATCGTGGCCGCGCGAATCTCTGACTCCTCCTCAGACCCGGCGGGGATCTCCTGCCGCCCGTCCACCTGCCGGATCAGATCACGCCCCAAAAATGGGTGCGATTGGGTGTGATAGGAACCCCCAGACGATGATATGCAGCGCCCAGCCCGGCCCGGCCCATACTGCAGCGGCTGGGCCCGACCCCGTGCTTTCCAGCCCCACGCCACTGCCGCGCCCCACATTAGCGGTTCGCGGCACCGCTAGCGACTCGCGCCTCAAAAGAATGCATTACTTGAGTGAGCCTCATTCTGATAAGACCCCCCCGCCC